AGAAGTACATAGTTATGTATCAAGCATTTAATATTTATTAAATCATTATATGTTATTTCGTAATTATTATTACTCATTATCTTGTGATATTTTAAAAAATTTTATATATAATATACATATTATATTTATAAAAATTTTTTGTGATAAATATTAAAATATTTTTATGATTCATTGTAATACTAGTACGTTGCGGTATGAAAATTATAGCAGTGTTACGCATACGAAATTATAATATGTATTTAAGATTTTCATGAATTCAACATAAAAATATTTTTTCTGCTTGAATTAGTTTTTTTAATAATAAAAAGAATTTTAAATGTAAAATGTAATATATTTTAGATATATTCTAATTTATAAATTTTAATTCTAATAATAATGTTTTGTATATTTTATATATTTAATTCTTAAGCTTTATATCTTATATATTATATATTATGCTCTATGCATTATAGTCCATTAATTCCCATTATAACAATTAAGCTTCTAGAAATAAAATATACAGCATATTTATATATTGATGTATGTATATTATCTATTTTTGGCATGTTTTATGATCTTTACTGCATTTTTATGACATAGCATGTATACGGTTTTAAATAATCGCTTTTTCCTCCATGTACATATATGTATATATGTTTTATATGTATACATTGCTTACCTTTAAATATTTTGCTTACATATTTTTTGGTATACATAATTAAATAGTTTTAATTTATTTTTATTGACTTTTTTAATCTCTATCTTTGACTTTCATTTATTGAATTAAAATAAATTATATTATAATTATATATTAAAAACTATATATGATGTAATTAATGTAATATTTATTTTAAATATTTAAAATTTAAATTTAATAATTAAATACATGTAAATATATTTAAATTAACTTTGTAAGTAATATAAAAAGCATTTATTCAATTAAACCATGCAATACTAATACATTTAATAATATTTTAACTTAAAAATAAAAAAAATAATTCATAAAATATTCGTAAAAAATTAATCAAAAATAAAAGTTTCTAAAAATATATTGAATATTTACTGAAATACACTATTTGAAAAATTAACGTATTAGTGTAAGTCATTTTCTGAAAATCTCTTTATTATTTAAATTTTCAATTGATAAATTAATCAAATAATATTCTAACTATTTTAGTACTTCAATAATAACTTTAATTAATTTAATAATTAAAAATTTAAATAAAAAAAATATGACTTACACTGTTTAGCTTTTAAAATCTCCATTTATCTTTTGATTATCTATTTAAATATTGTATATAAAAAATTTGAAATTATTTAAATCTCAAAAACAAAATTTCAGGTTTTAAAATAATAAGGAGCTTTTCTTTTTTACTTTTCTTTTCTATTTACATTTGTATAATTTTAAAAAAAAATTTTCATGAAAGTTTTACGAAAGCTTATAATATTTAATCTATTATTTATAACAACGCTATTTCATAATTCAAATCATTTTATAATATAAATTTTGTCTTTCTAATCTATATCTGACCTTTTATAAGCAATACTTTATATTTGCTTATTATGTATTATATGTATATATGTGGGCAATATTGAATGGGTAAGATAATTGGTAAGTGGATTTGTGATAAGCTTTTTTTTGCATGCAGTGAACTGATTCTTATTGTTTCAAAACTTAATACCAAAAATTTAATAGCTAACAAAAGCTTTTCTTATCAAATAAAAATAGGAAAACCATTGTATTTAAATTTGTACTTAAATGTCATAAAATTTATTTTATACTTTCTATACAAATTTTTTGTTCAATTTGTCATTTTAAATTAAAAAATAAGTAGAAAATATACAAGCCGATTCATTTTAATTTATATTATTTTGTGTATGAAAAATATTTTATTTAATAGATTAAAATTTGAAAAGATGAAAATTTATTTTGATAAGAAAATATATTAAAACAAAACAAGAATATATGATTACTTATTTTGAAAAGATTTTTGGTATACTTTTCGAAGTTTTTAATTAATTTATATTCCTTTATATGTGTTATATTTAAATTCATTGTCTTTTTTCTTGCATTGCAAAAATTTTATTAATTCTATTAATTTCTATGTTTATTTTTTTTAATTTTATTTATTTAATTATACTTATATACATACATATTTTTATATAATAAGTCTAAACAAAAATGAGTTGACTTGTATAATTTTAAGATATTATACATTATATACATGTACATATGTATGAATGTATACAATGTATCTTTCAACAAAATAATTAAATTAAATTTAGATAATTTTTAAAAAACAAATAAAAATATTCTATTTATTTAAACGGTACGCAATCTAATATTATTTAAATCCTAAAAAGTAGATAATAACTATAATTGAAATTATTTTCAAATAATCTATTAAGTAGAAATTGCTATATACTTCAATATTTCTTTTTTTTTTTTATATTTTTTTTTTTTTTATTTTTTTTTCATATATACACTCTACGACCTCGTTAATTCAATATCGAATCAATTCAAGTAATCTTGAAACAATCTTAATATGAATTTTTAATGAGTTTAATGATAAGTAAATATAAATTTATTTAATTTACACTAATAAACTTTTAATATTTTATGATCTTTCTTATAAAAATATAATTAAGCCATGATTTTAAATGAAATAATAATGTATATATCATTATTTTTTAATGATTTCTAATAGAGATACATTCCAAAAAAATAATAAATTTTGATAAAATTTTCTATATTATTATATTAGAAATTTAAAATTATATTTTTGTTAATTTTTTTAATTTAAATGTTTATCTAATAATATCTGTAATATATTATTTCAATAAATGAATTTATTCACATTTGATTACATAACTATAATTTTTTTATTCAAAAATATAAAATATCTATGTACATTATTTTTAATAATTTTTTATTTTTTTAAGAATAATTTTCATGCAAACACTTATTTAAAAAAAAGATACAAAATTATAATAAACTAAGATTTTATCAAAATTAATTATTTTCACTTTGCAATGTTGTTTATTTCTTTTTAAATCATAAAAAAATAAAAGATTTATATAAATAATTTTTAAAAAAAAAATTTCTTCAGAAAATTATATTAGAATTTCTTATTCTTTATAATGTAAATATTATATATTTTCTTAGATTATATGTAAAATTATATAACATCTTTTTTTAGATTTTATTTCTTTTGTTTTTATTATCTGAATATTATTAAAAATATATAATATATTAATTCAAGATAGGACACAGAATTAAATATATTATAATACCTTTTTAATCAATGATAATGATTATTAAAAAAAAACAAAGTGATATGAAAAGTGTAATTAATTCCTAAGAAAATTTTTAATGATCATGATAGATAAATCTTTCTTTTCCTTTAAATAATTCTCGTAAATATTCTAAACATACGAGAATCATGAAATTTAGTTTATAAAAAATTTTAAAAATGCTTCATTGAGATAATAAAAAAAACAATAAAATAAAATCATTATAGAATTATTATTATTATAAATCAATTATAACCAGTATTTGAGAGAAACAAATATTATTTTATTTAATTTATTTTATTTATTTATTTAACATTTTTTAGTTTCAATTCTCAGGATTTAATGATAATAAAAAATTTGTTGAATTAACAAGGTCATTTTGTATTAATGGTGAATTAATAATTGATATTTAGTATAATTGATATTAATAACTTCAATATATTATAATATAACACTGTATAGTAATTTATATTTAGTTAAAAATATAATCGATTTAAGATATCTTTGGAACCTTAAAAATAGTTCCATTAATTCTATCAATTTATTATGTAATTTACTGGTATCCACTATTATATTGTATTGCTATTGTAATTTAAATGTAGAAATAAATTTAAATTAACGTAAAAGTTATAATTGTAATTAACATGAGTGATATATGGGAAAAAATTTTTTAGTAATTAGAAGCAACAATATGAGACAATAATTAAAATTTTTTTCAATTTTAAGAATAATTTTCTTCTTATTTGCTTTCTGTCATAGCATATATCTTATATATCTTATAACATCAATCATTATATTTTTTAATTGTATTTCGTATTATATATTGTTTTGTATATTATATCTATATGTTATCCTATATTTTTTATTCAAGAATATAGGATCAAAAAAATAATTATAAATTTATAATTATTTTATATGTATATATAGATATAATGTCTAATTATAATATATATATATTCAATACGATATTCATTTATATTACAATATTTTTTTAATTCTTTATGAGATCTGACAATAAAACTCGTACATAAAATTACGTATCTTCTTGTTAAATATCATTCTGATCACGTTCAAATACCTTCTTGCAAAACTATACGAACATGTATTTTGTCTATCCTTCTAGATGATTTTGAAAATGGTTTGAAAATTTGTGTTACTCTCAATATTATTAATGTTATATCTATTAAAAAATAATTATTGCAAAATTTCCCTTATTAACTTCTATGATTTTATTAGTTTTCTATGATTTTTTACTATTCTTAAAAAAAATAAAAAAATATTTTTTGATAATATAATGGCATCAAGAGTAATAGAATAACTTTGAATTTATTTCATAAAATCATTTTCAAAATTGTTTTAGAAGATGAACAATATATGACATAAATGCACAATTTTTTAAAGGAAATACTTTGACATTATAATTTTATCATGACGAATTCGTTAACTTTATTGTCAAACCTTATATTTAACATATCAATTAACATTTCTATTTTTTATATTAAATTAAAATAAAAAATTTTTAAAATTTTACTAAAAATATAATTGTTTTTTTTTTTGTAATCTTGGAGCCAGTAAATTTGATAAAATATGAATTGTTAAAGATATCTTTAATCTTATTCCTATGTGTGTAAAACGTAAGGAACTTATGCAACAACAATATGGCGTTGGAGCATTATAGTGATGTCTAGTGTGCTAATGTGGTTGTGTCTTGTCTGTTGTGTCGTCAGCAAGAGCACGCAGGCTTGAATCCTACCGAGTCCATGACACGTGCATTGATTAGTGATGATAATATCGCCCGCCAGACTGCCCTTGGTCCTGTCCAATTGGGGTATGTACTCCGTATCTAGTAATCCTTCCCATACGTTATTATGTATCCTTCGAAATTCATTCAACAGAATTTATTATTAATTTAACGATATAAATCGTTAAATTAGTTTTATATTTACTATTATTTTTATAATATACTTTTTAATTACTTTTATCAAATTTAAAATTTTAAAAAACTATTTACATGTTCAAGGAGTATATAAAATCCAGAGAAGATGGTACACTTGAACAAAAGTATGTTTTCTATACAGTATGTCCAATAATAAATGAAAAATATTTCAGCAAATAATTCAGCAATTTATTCTTATAAACAAAGACTGAATCATTTTTTATCTAATCAAACGAATAATCAATTATAATATTAACTATTATTATTATTATTTTATTATTCTCTTATTAAACAAATAAGAAGAAATATAAAGAGATTATTTTCTATGAATAGATTTGTATTCTGAATTTGTATTTTTAAGGTTTTTTACCTTGATCTTTTTCTATCTTGGTTACAATAGTGTCACTAGCTGAATCAACATTACACTAATCAGTTTCAATATTAGCTACGGTTAGGATTTTGTGAAATAAGCATATTAAGATCAAGGATTCATTTATATGGATGAAATGTATATTTGCAAACCGTACTTTTTATAATTTTTTTCATGTTTATATTCTTTCAAATCATAATTATTTAATAAATATAAAAAGAATATTTTAGAAATATCATATGATAAAACTTGTTATATTTCATACATACAATTTTTTAAATACTGAATCAATCTTTGAAATAGTTCTCACTTATTATAGAATATCCTATGTAAAAATAAATTGAAGATATAGAATCTTTTCATAAACAATTTAATTTCGTAAGAAAAATAGAATTTAATGATTCATTGAGTGTTCATCGATTTAACTATTTTTTAAATTTATGTTTATATTTTATTATGTTCTTCTATTATGTTCTATATTTTATTGTTATTCTATTATAATCTTTAGTAAATTTAATAAATAATCATATCAGTATGTATAAAAATTAATTCGGTGCTTTATTGCATTAAATCAAAATTACAATTCATTTAGTATAAAAAAAATTATGATTTATTCGATTCTAAACTAACACAAGAATAATAAATTTGGGAAGAAAATATTATTCATTGCTTATAAAATACGACAAGGTCACATTTTTGGTCACATTTTGCAAACAGAAAAGATAATTCTTTGGATTAGGAAATGCAATTTACTTCCTTAACTTTTGGTTTTATTTGACTATTTATTCAAATCGTTTCAACATCATTTGACAAACAAGTATTTCCAAATATGAAAGAGCTATAAGAAAGCATTGATTAACTATATTACTAATTATAGTAAACATTGGACAAGTGCCTATAATTTAAAGTATATATTTATGAAATAGTAGTATTAGAATTTAATTATGATCAGGATTGTTAAACAAATTTTTTTATCTAAAAATAATTAAAAAAATTTTTTTATCTAAAAAAATTGGGAAAATAGAAATATAGAAGATATATATTAAAACAAATATATTTATTGTTTAAATAAGATCCCTTTATCTTAAAAATATATTAAAAACTTAAAGCTATTTTTTTCATCTTTATTTTTCTCATTATTATTTTCTTTCACTTATTCTTTCATTTTATTTTTTTTTTTATTTTCATCATTTTTCATTGAAAAAAATTATTTTGGGAATTATTATTTGAAGTTTTTTTTTTAAATAAGTAAAAAAAGAAGAATAAAATTTTTTCATTTGATGTTTTCGAATAAATCAAGTTTGAACATTTTTCAAATGAAATTTGCTGATTCTCAATTGAATTCGAATTAATCATCAATAGATAATTCTACTGAGCATATATGTGGATATAGAATAAAATTTTATCTCTTAAGTCTTTATTTTTAAGAAAATCGAGATTGAATATTATATTCTTAGTGCATCAAGGAGAATCTTTCCATGAAGATGATTATCAGCCATTTACGTCATAAATCAGGCACTTATCCAATCTTTATTGCGTATTAAAGCAATCATCTTTCTTTTCATTAAAAAAATTCGAAAATTGTTTAAAAGATAGAATCATTGAAAGTGACTTTTATTTAAAAAAAAATTGCATAATTTTTTCATAAATAATTAATAACTTTAATTTAAAAAGTATTAAAAATATCAAATTAATTTCTATATATAATTTTATTAATTTATGTTTGCATATATTATTGAAGAAATTTTTAAAAATGGCATTTTATTAACGCATAAATCTTGCTCTATGAATAATGTTATAATCTTCAAAATTGTTTTTTTATTTTAAAAAAACTTTTTAAAAAACTACATTTCTCATTATTTCACATATATTTTCTTTGAACTTAAGATATCTTCAAGACATCTTCATATTTCTTCAACCACAAACTTTTGCATAAATTTACATACTACGTATTTAAATGAAAAAAATTTCATAAATAAGAGTTTAATAAAATAAAATCTAGAAAAATTGTAGGTCTTTAAATTTTGATTCTTCAAAAATTATAAAAATAATCTCAACAAAATTTTTACTTCTTAATTTCAATTTATTTTTACATGCAAGCTCACTATATGTCCAAGTGTATCATCCATCTCATTCAGAAATAAATAATTATATTGCATCCTAAATATAATAAATATTTTTGTTGCTTTTTGAAATTGTAAAAATATGATTAATATAATAATAATATTGAATAAAGAAATAAAATATTGTATAAAAATATTTCTCAATGGAGATCAAATTATTATTATTAAAATAGTATTAAAATAATTATGTATTGAAAAATTTATAAGTTATAATAATAATACATGTAGCATAAATTAGTTTATGAATAAAATTTATTATAATAAACTTTAATTTAAATTTCAATTTAAATTTTTTCCATTTTGAAAATAAAAAATTAAATACAAAATAAATACAAATTATAATATTTTAATATATTGTTGAAACATAAATAATTAGAATCTAAAAACTTAAAAACTATTAAAAAAAACAAATTAAATAGATATATATATAAATATATGAAATATGTATTTATGAAAATCATATAAATTATATAATTATTCTTTCATTAAGATTTACTTTTTAATTAATATAAAACAAATGTTTTATTTCATATTCATTTTAGCTTGTAATAAATTATAAAGAATTAAAATCTTAACAAATCTTATTTTTATTTTTTTTCATTGTTAATGTATAATAAATTTTTTAATAATTAAAAATTAATTAAAAATTAAAAATAATTAAATATTTTTTTAATAATTTCACAAGCAATAGAAATATTTAAATAATATATAGGTCATATTGTATAATAAACGACAAATGTAATTTAATAATTTTTATGCATTATGCTTATAGAAAATGATCAGTATTTTCAATATCTACAGAATTGTGCAAAAATTACTTATAAAATTAATTATTATACTATATAATAATTTTATAGCTTTTGAAAGATTTTTATTATAGGCTTTATTATATAATAATACTGTAATGAGTTTGAGCATTTGTGTGAATGTGTCTTTAATAGATGAATGCTGTGATATGATATCCATATGAATATAAATAATTCTTGAAAACCTTCACATAAATTTAACATGATGATCACTAAAAAATATAACATTTATTAGTAACAGAAAAAAATTATAAGATTATTTTCTATAATGTGAATGGAGATACAAAAAAAAATAAATAAATAAATTAATATAATTAACAAAAAAAAAGAATCCAAAAAATAACTTTATATAACTTTAGATGAATGAAAAATGTTTGTATTATACTTATATATGCGCAGTAATGACACATTAATGAAAATTTTTTCAGTTAATGTTTTAATCATATATATATATATAATATATGTTTAAATTCTCAGAAATATAAGAAGAAGTAGTAATTATATAATTATAATTATAACGTATATTATATATGCGTTCATAGTACAATTAGAAAAAAAAATTGTATTCGACTTAATAATCTTTATTATTACATAAACATTATCTTAATACAATTTTTATAGATGTCATGAGTACGATTACAAAATGCAATTGCATTTGTTTTTAATATTAAGTAAATATCAAAAATAACATAAAAGTTGTATAGAATTTAAAATATTCATAATAATTTTTTTTTATTGTATTCTAATATTTTTTTTATTAATCAATCAATTCATATAAAAAAAAGATTTTTTATTAAGAATTCTATTTAAAAATCAAATACAATTGCATTAACAATTATGCTATTTCACTTTTAAAAAAATTATTACAATAGAATAACTTTTATTAAAAATTTTCTTTAAACATTTTTTTTTAATTTCACTTGATATAGAATTATAGCCATTGGATTCATCCTGACTTATAATTCTCTATTTATGAAATAAAGAAGATAAATTTTTAGAAATATTTGTATTAATTATTTTTTTTAATATTTATAAAGTTCAAAATTATTCTATATAAATTATAAGTATTATAAGTATTCTATATAAATTATAAGTATTAAATCCAAAATAAAACAATTAAAGTATTAAAAAACAAGATATTTAAAATTATTCTATTCTAAAACTAGGAAAGAAATTTATATATCTAATTATATTCTAATTTTTTTTATTCAACATAATAATAAATATTATGTATATATTATAAGTAGAAAAATTATTTGAAATAAATGACAAAAATACGATCAAAAAATGATTGTAATTATTGTCTGCATTGATAAAAAAAACTAGATAATTTTAAGGATAGTTATTGCATTATCCCTAAATACACATATAATTAATTTTGGCACTTAAAATTACATTATCTTGATAACTATTTTTGCATTTACAAACACAGAATATTATCAGAGCTAGAGTTATATAAAAAATTTATTTTTGACAAAAAATTGAGTTGATCAGTTCTTATATTATATTTATTATATTATATTATATTAAATCTTTCAATTATAGCTTTGTAGATAGCATTGATTTTTCAAAATTAATTAAAACTAAAAAAAATGAACGATTACTGAGCATATATAGATATAAATTAATTTTTTATACAATAACATTGAAAAAATATCTCATATATTTCGAGATTAAATCGATTTTTAAATAAATTTTTGCATGCGAAATATTTTATATTGTTCTGCTTTATATTTCTCAAAATAATATGATTTTGTTTGTTATTATAATATAATATTATAATATTATATTAATTAATAATTATAAATTTTCTCTTCTAAAATTGCTTTTTTAAATAAAACATACATTTTCTTGGATCATTATTATATATATTCTATAATTTATTATTTAATCTAATCATAATTTTGAGATGCATGTTATTTTATTTTTCTTTATAAAAAATATGTGCATACATCTAATACAATTATATTAAATTATATATTTAAGGTCCATGTTTAAGATCCAATTTAATTTAATAGTAAGTTAAGTTTTATAATATAAGTTTTTAAGAATTGCAGGTATAAAGCTTACTTTTAGTTTTTTTTCTTTATTTATTTTCTAAATATCATTTGATATTTAAAACATATAAATCTTTTATTAAACATATTTTTATTGAAATGCTGTTATTATTATGGTTGTTAATAACAATTACTATTATTATTTTCTTCATTATTATTATCATAATTATTTTTTTTTATTCTTATTATTTTATATTCTTACTATATTTTTTATTCTTCTTATTAATACTAATATGGTATGTTTATTGAATTTTATTATAGGTATATAAAATTTATGATATATTTATACTATATATACATATGACGATTGTATGATTAAATAATATTTATGATATTAAGAAAAAAACCATGGCTACAAGAATCATCATTTTTCAATAATAATACAATTAAATAATAATAAAGAAATCTTTAAATAAATATGTTGTTAATAAAAATAATAAAATAAATACGATACAGGTTGAAAGTATTAGTACCTATAATATAGAATTTACATATTAACCTTGAAAACTCATACAATTTGCCCAATATGACGACATATAATATTATAAATGCAAAAATGATTTTTTATGCAAATTGTATTGATGTATATTATTATTATATTCATGTTAAATTTAAAGTGATTTAAGATTTTTATACATACACAACATATTTATATGTTGTGTTATATTTTTATTTCATTTATGGTGTCATGTCTTTACTTCATTCATTGATAATTTATTATGATTTACGCATCTTATTAAAATTATTCTTTAAATAGTTTCATCGCAGGAGTAATTCTACGAGAACGTATTCCAGCATTTGAACGTATGCTTTGGCGTGCATGTCGTGGTAATGTATTTCTGCGTCAAGCAGAAATTGAAACTCCTTTGGAAGATCCTTCAACGGTAAATAAAAATTCGAATAAATTTTCAAAATTGATTTTTTTTTAAATAATATTTTCGAAATATATTATTTTTTTTCAGGGAGATCAAGTCTTCAAATCTGTGTTTATCATATTCTTCCAAGGAGATCAATTGAAAACTCGAGTTAAAAAAATTTGTGAAGGATTTAGAGCAACTTTATATCCTTGCCCTGAAGCACCTGCTGATCGCCGTGAGATGGCTATGGGTGTTATGACTCGAATTGAAGATCTAAATACAGTCAGTTTCTATATTTTTTTTATAATAAAATTATTTTTTAGAGATAAAATATCTACAGCAACAGAAAACTTTTATTCATAATTTTAATTAAAAATACAATTTTCCAATTATAATAATAAGATAAAAAGTATTAATTTTAAAATATAGTTAAATATTTGAATTTTTAAACAAAATTTTTAATAAAAAATATGAAATTTAAAAAAGAAAAAAAGAATATTTATTTATTTTATATTTTAATTATTAACAAGGATTAAAACGAATTTTATATATATATATATATATATATATATATATATATATATATATATAATAATATATAATAA